GCCAATAGGAGTCACACATTCGTCCACTTTTCTTTTTCACATTTACATTACCATTACTTCTGCTAACATCCCCTATTATTTTCTTGGCAACTCTGTTAGTTCTCATCGATATTGTGTCAAACAAAGAAATGCAAAGCTTTAAATTTCCGCCTCTGATTTATATACGCAACACGAGCTGTGTGTAGAAGAAATGCTCAGCGCTTTAGAGTACGAGTTACTCGACAATGGGAGAGCAATATATGATGTCCCAGTTTCAATGCCGCAGCTTCGTTTATGAGCAGCCGGACTTGACGGGAGATGTGCTAAGAAAAAGTATTTAACGGTTCAGAGTACTTGGCACTCAACCGCGGGAGAGCCGAAGCTGTCCTCAAAGTAAGGTAGACCTGTGTGTTTAAAAAAAGTGGTTCGTGATTTTGAGTACTAGGTGCTCTACTATGGGAGAGCATAGAGTCGTCCCGTGGGCCTAACGGGATCGTTTCGTTAAGTGTGTGTGTAAAAGAAGAGGTTAACAATTTACAGTACTTGGCACTGTACTATGGGAGAGCAGAAAGCCGTCCCACGTGCTGGGAAGTTCACTCATTTAAGAGAATTTCATTTCCGAATACATCTTACATAGCTTATGTGCACATAGAAAAATGGACAATGGTGATCAATGCGTATGCACGATGCAAGCTGTTATGTACAGCGAAAAGAACTGATTTGCGTGTGCAGTGATGTACAATGTGAAAATTGCACAACAAAGACAGGACATTCGTGACCATGGAGATGATTAAACTTAAATAAACAGTAAGGCTATGTGGACAAACAAGGTGGGGGGGGGGGGGTATTCACAGTGTAGTGTGATATTTTGCATTCACCTGTGAGTACAGTTTGCTCTCCTGCTCAAGAACAATATTGCACAAAAAGGACATGTTTCTATAAAAGAAAAGGAAATACACACTGCAATTTCACAGTGCACGGTACAAGCTCTAGCCCACCTCCTCAATAGGGGAGGAACGGCATGGACACTGTTGTTTTTTTACAATAATGAATCGCGTAGACCAACGTCGGAGGAAAGCCTCCGCTTCCAGCATGACTAAGTTCTGCGTTGAGATGCATAAGCATAACGTTTCCTAGCCGATGTAGCATAGAAGACATGGCTCTCTGAGGGCGTCCCCTCAGGTGGGCCAGTCCCCTCAGGTGGGCCAGTCCCCTCAGGTGGGCCAGTCCCCTCCGCTTCCATAAGACGAAAGCTCCGATAGCCATTAAGAGTTCAGTTCGAGGAAGTTTTCCCTGTGGCTAGACTTCCACTGCATACTTATTTGGAACATACCGGTAACCGGGGGGGGGGGGGTTAGAAAAAGGGGGTAACGATTTAGAGCACAGGGTACTCTACTATGGGAGAGCTTAAAGCCGTCCCAGACGCAGAACTTTCAGACAGTGTGCCTGTCTTTGACATACCGGTAACCATGCTGACAAGATAGTATGGTGAAATTAGGCGACTGAAGAAACGCACGTAAAGCTTAAGCGTCAAAACCATAAAACCACCACAATTACTCTAACTGAGCGCCTCATATCTTGGTTAAAATTCGATTTTGCTCACGACAAGTACCGCAGTATTGTGTTGCAACTAAGCACGATGTTCAAGCAGCACGCACCTTTTAACTTTACAATATATTTTAACAAAAAGGAAGATGCGCAGATGACACGTCACAGCTTACATTCACTCGCATGTGAGAGAAATGCCTGCCTGATTACTTCCAATGGTCGTTGGTCGAAATTTCCAGAGCCGTCCACTACGGCGTCTCTCATAATTATATGGTGGTTTCGGGACGTTAAACCCCACATATCAATCAATAAATCCAATGGCCGTTGAGCTCACTAGCTCTTCGCCTACCTCTCCATCTCCCCCCAAATTCCCTCTTGTTTCCTTTTTCTGTGAGCTGCAGTTTATATACGTGTAGGCACACACACACACACACACACACACACACACACACACACACACACACACACACACACACACACACACACACACACACACACACACGCACGCACGCACGCACACACGCGCACACGCACACACGCACACGCACGCACACACGCGCACACGCACACACGCACACACACACACACACACACACACACGAACGTCTGCAGAAACTGTTCAAAGCAGAAAATTTCAGCATATTGTGATCCTGGATATGTGATTAGCGAAGCGCAGGGGTAGAGAAAGAAAATCTTTGTTGGCTTGGGGGCCCGGTATTACTAAAGACGCGAAACTTTTGGTCTGTCTGTCTGTCTGTCTATGTGTGTGTCTTTCTCTACATTTGTTTGTTTGTCCACACTTAACGGTACCCTAAACGACCGACCCCATTCGCAGCGCCCACCAATATTGCTCAAGATTACGCGTTCATACTTGTGCGATTTATAATTAAAAAGCAATTATTGCGCATATCTGGGACACCCTAACAACACATTGATATTTCGTATGTGTGTCTTTCCACTAGAGAAGGCACACTTAAGTAATTCTAACGACCGCTGCGTTTATCACGGATCGCTGACAGTGCAACGCGAGTCTCAAAAAGGCAAGTGTTTCCAGCGCTTTGCTAAGACGACACCTACCCGTCGCCTTGCGTTCTACACCTTATCACCTCCGAGACGGGTGCGCAGGGCAGATAACTGCCAGATAGCGCTCATGTCTCACGTCTGACGTCACTTGATGCGCTCGTTCGCCTCCGCTGCACGCTCTAGGCACTCTAATGCACCACATCCAGAATACCATTCACCGATTTTCGTGCGCAGAACATCAAATAGACGTTTTGTTCCCTCTCTACACGTGCAATACCATCGTCTTTCGCCGATATTTGCAGTCTGACATGCAAATACGGGGCCATTCTTTTTTTGTTATTCGACATCACCCACGGAGCAACCAGCATTTGTGTCAGAGCCTGTCATTATTTCCCGAAATAAGGTTGCGGCGAAACAAAGAAGAGAAAAAGGTGATAAGTCGAAAAAAAATTTTGGAGGCGACCCTTAAGTGTCTGGTATGAAGAGGCACGCACGTCGAAGTTCGTGAGCCCTGGCATAGGCGCAGACATGTGGGACCGGATCAGGGCCCTAAGGGGGGGGGGGGGGCAGAAAATCTGCTCCATACATCTACTTCATAAAGAGGGCGGGAGCGCTGTGATGAACTTTCTCCTAAACCTTCTCCCCTCCCATGAGGGGAACCCTTCGCACGCCTATGCGCCTTGGTGTAAACATTGCGCTGAGTTTCGCGCGTTGCCGAAGCGGATCCCAGAGGCCACGTAGAAAGAGTAGCGTGGTTGAAGTATGCTCCGCGAGGTGCCGTAACGATCCTAGGAACTCTAATGTTTCTACAAAAAAAAATAAAAGTAGCGCCAATCGCACCCCTTTGTCTCTGCCTTCTCTATCAGCAGCTACAGCAACGCACCTACAGCGTCCAACAAAGAACTACGGACACAGGCGCATCCTTTTCCGGTGTACAGGGGAGGGTAAGCCAGTGCCCCGCCTCCTCTTCACCAGCGTTGTTGTGGAAGCAAAAGAAAAGAAAGAACGTGCGACCGAGGGCAGACAAGATGGTGCTTACACAACCATGGCTATGGTGGCAGGCAACATACCATGTCTACCAACCACGGGGGAAAAAAGAGCGAGAGTGGCGGCATGAATGGTGCTACTTTAGCTATTTCCATGGACTTCAAGCTACTCACAATCCTTCAGTAAACTAATCCATTTTCTATTACTTGGCCTGTCAGTTAAATGGTCACTATATTAGGTAAATTTATGCTGAGATATCATATTTACACTGTACAGCATCTAACTCGAGCAAGAACTATGCATCTCTACATTTAAGAGATCATTCAGGAATATTCGCAACACCGGAAGTAATTGTTCAACCGGAACTGCATGGAAGAGAAACGAGGGTGTCATTTGGTACCAAGTAGGTTTTAATAAACGCCAGGCCTGCGCCGTAGGCGCAGTACAGTCACGGCGAAAGTTAGAAGAGCGGCTTTTCAGAGCCTTTTCAAAGCACTCATTGGGTAACTATACTGTGAGCACACTTGCTTAGTACCCACTAGGGCATTAATAATAAACTTTTGGGGAGCAGGCCGGCATTCGCAATGCTATTCTTCGTCATTCTTCTGAGAAGCATGGTATCCGCTAAACACGTGCAAGGAATTTTGTGCCAATCGGTCATGCAGTGGCTGACGACGATGAGGAATTATGGCTGAAGTGGGTATGCGCCACAGTTAATAGGGGAACAATAACAAGCTTTTGTGATGGTTTGGAGCATTGGATGGCCCAATTGTTACGCTGTTCGCATCGTGCTACGACTGGTTGTTCTTTCACTGTTGTAAAACGCTTTATAAGTCGTATTAACGCGATTGCTTTCCCGACATCAAGCCTGCCTAAGGCAAGTTTGACAAGTCACAAGCACCGGTGTATATAGCTCTGTGTGGTAGAATACTGGGCTGGCAACCAGTGGAACCGGGTTCGAATCCCAATGTGCCATAGGTGCTGGGTCATGCCTGCCTAAGGCAAGTTTGACAACAAGTCACAAGCGCCGGCGTAACTCAGTTGTATAATATTGGGCTGACCCAGCGGACCCGGGTTCAAACCCCTCTGTGTCATTGGTGGAAGGTTTTTTTTTCTAATTTCGCGAGATGTTGTTACGGACATCGGTGGCAGTGGCAGACAACAACTGCGCGTGACCCAAAAATTGATCTCATAACAACTTTCGCTGTAAAAAAAAAAAGTTACACTTCCTTCCTCTGTACTTAACGACTACCGAAACGCAAAGCCCGAGTTTTCTTGATGTGTGAAATTCTCGAAGCCTGCCTGACAAGTGATGCTGCAGAGGCGTTTTATTCCACCCCTGCAGAAAGTTGCCAAAGCCTTCGTAGACAACGTTGATTATAGTCGTTCAAATGTTCGTGCGCAATTTATGAGATGATTCAATGAATGAATGAATGAAAACGCTGGGATGCTGTTGGTTGCAGTTCACTGAAGCCGGACCGGTGGGTGGTGAACCTTCGCCGGCATGGCATCATTCTCCAGGAGGATGAGACCGTGGTACGCTACGTCCATCGCATCATCATCCATCCTGGATACAATGGATTCAAACCGTGGAACGTAAGCGGCACTATTCTATTCAGTCACGAATTATAATGCGCTGTAAGAAACGCGTCAAATTCGCGTGGCACAATTCCAGTGCAGTCAGTATTACATTCGAAGAAAATGAAGGAAAGCGCAGTTTCGTGTGAGTTTCGGTAATTAGGGTAGCGGATGTGTAACTGATTATCTAATTATTTTGCCACCGGTCAGCTTTAGTACTTGCATAAAAAGAAAAAAATCACAGCATATCCACGGAGTGAATGATGATCAGTGGCGCGAAGCTTCGGAGGGTTTAATCGGTAAACGGCGAATCGTCCATCCGTCCATACATCTGTCCACTCATCCGTCCGTCCGTCCGTCCTTCTGTCTGTCTGTCCGTCCGTCCGTCCGTCCGTCCGTCCGTTCGATCATCCATCTGCACCTGCTGAGTGAGTCATCGAACTTAACAGTCACGTATGAGCTAGGAGGGACAAACCCTCGGCTTTAGGAGCTTCGCCCCTAAAAGAATCTGCTACTAGGCCAGAATTACAGTTTTTTTTCTCAGTCTCACGATGTCACCCGTCATGCGTCGGTGGCGATGTCCACATCCCACTGCGCATGCTCGCGCCCCGCGTATCGTGCCGCATGTTATTGCCTCGTGCCAACCATTTGCTCCCCCCCCCCCCCATTCGCCTCGCAATGCCGACGCAGGTAGCGTCTGCTGGTAAAAACCGACTGCTCGAGCTGCGCAACCTTTACAGAGCCAAACCGCGGGCATCCTAACGCCAGTGACTGTAGTTCCACAACAGCACTCGTATTTTCACCGTCAAGTGTGGAAGTTCCCCCTCCATTTTCTACGTGGAGCTGTTTGAGACAGGACGCAGCTCCCTCCAATGAGATAGTCGTACTTACTCTAATTTTTTCGTTGTGATTTCGTGTTTTTGAACGCGCAAGGAAGTCCCGCATTTTTACGTGCGCCTTGAACGATAAGTGGCGCCTGCGTCTACATTATGCCGATGGTTCGCCCCCGTCACTTTCCTTAGAATCACGATGGTGGTGGTGGTAAAAAACATTTATTTCAGAAAAAGTTTACTAGAGAGTGCCGACGTGGCCCATCGGCGTGCTAGAGTGGCAAGACCCTATTCCGGGACGCCAGTGGAGCTGGAAGCTGCCCGTGCGCGCTCCACCAAGGAGCGTTGTGCAGCCAAGGTAGAGCAGCCGAGCAGGTGCTCCTCCCAAGCCTCTCTAGTTGGGATAGGAAAAGGGGATGAGAAAGGGACGGGATTAACTGGGCACGATGCTACGACGTGATATGTGTCGGCGAGCACATGACAGGTCGAGCAGGTGCCATTGATTTCCGGCAAAAAGTGCCTGGCGACCGCCGGACTTATAAAGGTGTTCGTCTGCAGGCGGCGTAGCAGTCGTTCGTCCGCTTTCTCCAAACCGCGTGCGGGGTCCGGATAGAGGCGGCGCGAAGCCCGGTAATAAGCCAAAATTTCGCGAAAGCGCGTCAGGTTGGTATTGCCAGATTCCGTCTCGGGACATGGAGGGGCAACGGCCCGGACATGAGAAGCGCGGGCAGCGGCATTTGCCGCCTCGTTGCCGGGCAGGCCCGAGTGGCCTGGGGTCCACACTATACGAATGGGATGAGGGTTAAAGCGCCAAGAGGCTGCCTGTAGTAGGCTAGCCGCCAGCGGAGCAATGGAACCCTGAAGGTACTGAGAACAGGCCGAGCGCGAGTCCGTCAGGATGGTGCGTGAGGCAGGGTTAGAGGCGGCCAAAGCTATGGCAACCTCTTCAGCGTGCGTTACTGTGTCTGCTCGAAAGGAGAGGCCATCTACGTGTTTGCCCTCTGTAATCACGGCAGCCGTGAAGTGACCCGAGGGGGAGGGACCCGAGACGTCCACGTAGAAAACACCAGGACGATCGGAGTGTCGCGTATGAAGGGCCGCGGCGCGTGCTAGTCTACGGCCAGGATGGAGGTCAGGGTTCATATTACGGGGTAGAGGTTCCACCCATAGCTTTTGACGCCAGAGCTCTGGTACCGGCTGCAGAGGGTCTTGGTCAGATATCGGGTTAAGGCCAAGTCTGTGTAGAAGACGGCGCCCTGAAGGCGTCTGCGACAGTCGATTGATTTGGTTAACGCGATGAGCTTCGCGCATCTCTGCAAAGGTGTTGTGTACCCCCAAAGCCGTGAATCGGCTGTTGGAAGTTGCAATAGGTAGGTCCAGAGCGCGTTTGTATACTGAACGAAGAAGGACGTCCAGCTGGTGCTCGTGTCGACGACGCAGGTGAAGGTAAGGCAAGGCGTAGAGGACGCGACTGGTCACAAACGCGTGGGCCAATCGGAGGGACTGAGACCCGCGGAGGCCGCCGCGCTTGGTAGAAACTCGCCGTATCATGCGGCTCACCTGTTCGCTGGTGCGTCTGAGGCCTGCTATTGTGCCCTTTGGATCCAAGGACGATGTGAGGTGAAGGCCAAGAACCCGAATATTTTGCACTGACGGGATGGGCCCGGACGGAAGAAAAATTTGAGGCGGCGGTAGCGGAGAGACTGAAAGAAGAGCCGATTTAGCTGGAGAGCACTCCATGGAGGCCGCATGAACCTGCGTAGGTGTCCACCAGAAGGGCAGCCTTTTGCAGGCGTTCTTCGATTTGCGCTAAGGAGCCGGTGTTGGTCCAGATTGTGATATCGTCCGCATATAGTGCGTGTTGTATTCCCTCGACCTCGCTTAGAAGAGAGGGGAGGTTCATCATCGCCAGGTTAAAAAGCAGAGGAGACAGAACTGCCCCTTGAGGTGTACCCCGCGTGCCTAATAAGTACGGGCCGTGTTCGGTAGAATTAAGGCGAATGAAGGCGGTGCGATGTGATAGAAAGGCGCGAATGTAGTTGAAAGTCTTCTGCCCGCAGTTTGTGGTAGACAGGTTAGCGAGTATAGTGCTGTGTTTGACGTTGTCGAACGCCCCGCGGAGATCGAGAGCGAGCACGGCTTTATCGTTATGGCGCATAGTAGTCGGCTCTATGATATCGTGTTGAAGCTGGAGCAGGACGTCCTGCGCCGACAGATGCGGGCGAAAGCCAAACATCGTGTCGGCAAAGGTGCTCCTGGCCTCCAAGTAGGCTGAAAGGCGTTCGCGAACCATGGTTTCCATGAGTTTGCCTGCGCAAGACGTAAGTGAGATGGGTCTCAGTGCCTCAATACTAACGGACTTTGCCGATTTGGGAATGAATGTCACAACCGATGTGGTCCATTCCGTTGGAAGCGGAGAACCGTCCCATATCGAATTTATAAGCTGGAGTAGCGAGAGGTGTGCTTGGTCGGGAAGATTTGCCAGGAGCGATACTGTGATTCCGTCGCGTCCAGGGGCCGTGCCCCGTCGCATTTTCGTGAGTGCAAATCGTAAATCAGAAAGCGTGTATGGGGCGTCGAGGTCGGTGTTAGGGGCGCCGGAATACGTATATGCTGGGCCTGCGGGATCAATTGTGCGGCAGATGTAGCGGTCACAAAGTTCTCGCGCGAGTTCATCCGTAGTGCCCTGAAATGCATGCAGAACACGGTGGAGCTGGCGTTGCGTTTCTCCCCTGGTGGTGGAGGGATCGAGAAGGCTTCTAAAGAGTCGCCACGCACTCTTAGAGCTCATCTGGTTTGCAGCCTTCGAACAGGTGTCTGCCCAGTTAGCATCGGAAAGTTGTGCGGAGTATGCGGCCGCCTCTGCAGTGAGCACCTCAATGCGAGCGCGAAGTTTCCGATTAAGTTTGTTGCGTTTCCAGCGCCTTATGAGCCCGCGGCGAGCGTGCCAAAGATGTAGGAGGTGTGGATCGATTGCAGGAGTCAAATTAGAGGTTGCAAGGGTGCGAGTGTTCGCTTGTTTCATATGAAGAGCGTATGATGCCCACGCTGCATACTCGGTCGAGGAGAGGCCGGCGGGGAATGGTTGCATTCTGAACTGAGTCCAATCGGTGAGACGGGCTTGGCCCCAGTGTTGGCGCATTTTCTGCCGCGGTGTGAACGAAATGCGGAGTAAAAAGTGATCGCTGCCTAGGTTTTCGCCTAAATTTTCCCATGTAGCATCGCGGATGTGACGGGTGAGGGAGAGGTCGGGGCATGTGTCTCGCGTGACCGAGTTGCCGGAACGTGTGGGTTGTGCCGGATCGGTAAGAAGCGTCAGGCTCAGCGAGGAAATGAGCTCCTTGAGCTCTCTGCCCCGGGCCTTCTCGTAGTGGTAACCCCAGTGAGGGCTGGGGGCATTAAAGTCCCCGACAATCACCAGTGGTTGTCGGGCCGCTATACGCAGTGCCCGATGAAAGAGATGCGCAAACGAAGCCCTCGCAAGGCGAGGGGGACAGTACACGTTTAAGATATGTATTGATGGTTGGCCCCTCCGCTGAGACAGCACTGATATCATGCAGTAGTCGTAAGGAAGATCCAGATCGAGGTCAATCTGTATCGCCGTGTAAGCTTTATGCACGAGGAGGCATGTGGTGGTGCCGCCTACATAGGAGCAGTATCCAGAAAGGGATGGAGCAGGGCCAGATTCTTGGAGCGCCAAGACGGCCGGCTGAGAGCCAAGTGAGCTGAGGAAAAGGGAAAGATGTGAACGCTTTCGCCTGTTCCCGAAGCCTCCAGGGTTCCACTGTATGATCTCGAATTTAGACGCAGTGTTTGAACGGGACGTATGATTGGTAGCCATCGTGACTGTCCTAGGTTTTATATTTGGTCCTCCATGTCCCGCTCGGAATCCTCAGAGGCAGGGAGGGGCACGGAGGCCGCATTGTCCGACGACGGGGTGGTGGTAGCCACCTTACGACGACGCCGTGGAGCTGTACCCTCACTGCTCACCGAGCAGGAGCGGGAACGCAATGCCTTGGGTTGAAACTGGGTGATTGCCCAGGCTTGAATAGCCTGGGTAACCTCTACTACTATGCGTTGGACCGAGAAGCTGGTGAGGAGGTGATTAATCGAAGCTTCGACGCGCGTGAGGCGTTCCTCTACGCGCGGGGTGTGCTCTTCGCTAGGGAGAGTTTGGTTAGCGGGCAA